CACCACCACCACCACCACCACCACCAGGCACGCGGGGACCTGTCCACAGCAGTGTGTTAAGCCATAAACCCCACGCACCCCACCGACTGCCAGCCACTGTATTTGGAGATAAACTTTATCTAGAATCATGCCCCTCACCAACACTTCCCAGTGTAGAGATCCACCTGTAGGAGAGAAAAAAAAAAAAAACAAACCAAACCAAACAACACCACAACTAAAAGAAAGGAGCAGATGAAACCATTGTCTGTGTCTGCTGAGCAACTTGTCGGGGGTTTTTTTTTCCCATCTCTTTGCACACTGAAATAGAAAAATCTCAATGCTGCTCTGGACCTCGACTGAGGGGAGGTGATGAACCTGGAGAATGGCTTGTTGGGCTAAGTCACTGGAAAACCAAAACCTAGGGCTTCGAGACCAGTCCCTGAGCTCGTTTGCATCCTGCAATATTGATCATGAATATTAATTATTATTCATCCTCCATCCTGCAGCGTAGATGCCTTTTTTGGTTTTGTAGAGAGAAATGCTAAAAACAGTAGCATCTGATCTCTGCTGGTAGAGATTTTGGGGAGAGCTGACCCAAATCTGTCCCCTGAGCAGGGCTGGGGGTCATGGTGTCCCATAGCCATTGGGATTCCTGCTCTGGGTGGGATGTGGAGCCCCGGGTGGCTTTCCCAAACTCTCCACCCCTCCTCCCCTAGTGCCCTTTTTTTGCAGCTCTTCACTTTGCTGCTGCTCTTTTCTTGCTTCTGTAGCCAGGAGAGGTTTTGTAGCCAGCTGCAGCAGAGGAAGGACCCGGCCCAGGGTGTGGGGTGGAGAGTTGGGTGCCTTCATGTTCTTCCCATTTTTTTCCATGTCCATGGAAGGGCAACTGAACTGGCCCCGGGGGCTGGGCAGGGACTCAGCTCCCTCTCACCTGGTCTCACTGAGGGTCAGTAACATCCCAGGAACATCACACACCAGATCCAACTCCAGCCATCTCTTCCACTGACCAGACTCTGCCATCCCCAGATCCCCTTCCGTGGTGTCCTCACGACTTAAGCCACCTCTCAGCCACTGCTCTGGTTGAGATGTTTTTTCCTTCAGGGCCAGCGTGGGGGCTTCTGGCAGGGTGGGCTTCTCCATGGGGAGGTGCTGAGCTGCAGCACGGCCCAAATTCAGGGTGTAGCAGGGAAAAAAAGACACAAACCAACCCAAGAGGACAGAACTCGATGGCAGGATGAAGCTCAGTTTGCCTCATCTCACAACCCAGAAAACTGCAGGAGTCCCTTAGAGGTGGAAGCCACGCAGGGAGCCACCCAGCAGCCATCCAGCCAGGGCACCAGCCAGGGACCTTTTGCTGTTCCTGTCAGCTCTGCCCTGGTTGCTCCTAGGATATGATGTATAAATACCACAGGAAAAACAACAATACATATGTACAGGCTACGTTGTACACAGCACAAAAAAAAAAATACAGGAAAAAAAAGAAAAAAAAAATAGCTGAAAAGTGTGGTTGAACTTTTTAAGAGAATATTATAAATACTGTAATATATCATTTTATTTTATCAGCATGCCTTTTTGTAAATACAAAAGAACTACAAAAAAAATAATAGAATGGCTTCTGGCTTATGCCATTGTCCATGTTTATTTTTATTTTTTTAATATTTTTCTGTTTTCCTTAGACTTTAGAGAGCCAGTAAACGTCCCCCAAAGAAAAAAACACACACACACAAAAAAAAAAGACAAAACCTTCCCGCTCCCCCATCCCCCCCCAAAATAGATTTTAACAGAAGCTTTATGGCAAATGACCTTTGCAACAGCAAAAAAAAAAAAGCTATATTTTTGGGTTCCAACGTGCAATAAGTTGACCACTTCTATGCAAGATTTGGCTTAAACTTCATAATTGTTCTTGAGCTGGGCCATTGACTCGTAGGTGAAGCTCGGTCCGTTGAGCGCTCGTGCTGGCGATTTCATTAAGCTGCTCAATTACTTTAAAATAAAAAGTCCCTTCAAACGATGTATATATATTTATTTTTTTAACATCAGATGGGTGTTGAACGCCAGAGGCTGGTGGTGGTGTCATTGCTGAGAGAACGGGAGCGAGCCCTTCCTTCGGCCCTCCCTTGCCTGGAGTGGCTCCTTCTGCTCAAAGCCAAGGTTCACGGGGTGGGGGTGTTTTTTTAGGGGGGGGTTATTTCTCTTAGTTTCCCCCC